ACAAGTGAGTTACTTCCCAAGGTGCAGGAGGTGCATTCCTAATCGCTGGTACTCTTCAAACACAGATGTCCATCGTACTGCGACTGCCCTGCAAATGTTTTTTCGTACATTATGAGGCAAATAAACAACAATTCTCGGCGTTTTTATTTTTTTACGTGAAATATAGGATTTGTTGGATTTCAGAGTGTTGCACGTTGAATTGGATCGAGTTGTGGCTTTGAAGTGTATGGCAACGGATGGGAGCAAGGAACAGCTTGCTGACATCCAGCGAGAGGCGCAGCTGCTCAGAAAAGTAGCCTTTCTTCTCAGTAATTTTGATTGCTTTTTATGCGTTTTGTGCTGTGTACAGCAGTACAAAACGCATATTGTTACGGGGTTGTCTGTGTGTGTGTTTGTGTGTGTGTGTGTGTGTCCGCAGTAACTTGTCCGCAACTTTCAACTCGGGAACCACAAAAGCTAGGAAGCTGAAAATTTAGGGGAACGTTACCCACGTGTGACTCCGCAAATTTAAATTCATCTTCCCCGTACCCGCGGGTAACGCGTACGGCCCTGTGAAAGTTTTTTAACCACGTGTGACCCCGCAAATTTAAATTCAGCTTCCCCGTACCCGCGGGTAACGCGTACGGCCCTGCACGTGTGACCCCGCAAATTTCACAAAGCTAGGAAGCTGAAAATTTAGGGTAACGTTCCCCACCCACGTGTGACTCCGCAAATTTAAATTAAGAGCTAGGAAGCTGAAAATTTAGGGGAACGTCCCCCACCCACGTGTGACCCCGCAAATTTAAATTCATACCCACGGGTAACGCGTACGGCCCCCTGAAAGTTTTTCACCGGGAAGTAAATATCTCGGGAACCACGGGCGGGTAACGCGTGCGGCCCTGTGAAAATTTTTTACGGGTAAGTTAATATCTTGGGAACCACGGAGTCTAGACGGGTAACGCGTACGGTCCCCTGAAAGTTTTACGTGTAAGTAAAGTATCTCGGGAACCACGGAGTCTAGGAGGCTGAAATTTTAGGGTAATGACCCACTGCCCATGCTCGGGAACCACGGAGTCCAGGAAGCTGAAATTTTAGGGTAATGACCCACTGCCCATGCTC